AGTCTACTTGAGATTCAGTAACAGTTGATTTAACTATACAAGGATACACATCTCATGCCTTGTGTTAAATCATGACATTTAGGACAGAAGGATAATAGCTATAGAACGTCTTGTGTCGTAGAAGGTATTGATGAGATGAACGTCTTTTTCATAATCTAGGGGTAATAATGTGTTGCTAGATACCGCTTACTATATATGGTATTAATTTATATTAATATCATTGCCAGTGTTATGGATACCTAAAGGGTCACACACTTATGACTTGTAAGGGAATAGTATACTACACTAATATATAGTTGTGATAATTTTATATATATATATATGTGTGTGTATGTATTTCGAAAATACATATGTATTTTAAAATTATATTTTGTTTGTGTCATTTTAATTATATGATAATTATATTTTAACAAAACAAATTTTATTATATATATATATATTTTTTTATTTTCATCATTTAAATTATATGATAATTATTGATGTCAAAATAAAATGTAATGTATTTTAATGTGAGATGGCCAAAATTCTAAGGGGGAAAATACAAAACATATTTTGATATTCCACCTAATAATATATTTGATTAATATAATCAAATATTTGATTAGTAAAGAATATTTGTCTTGTTGTGTTGGTTGGGAACATTGAATTAAGCCTAATTTGTTTTTGTACCTAAGCAAATTCTTAGAAATTCCTTAATGTATTATGTTATAAAATAAGAAAATCCCTCCTCACTTTACACACTTAATTTTCGGCCATAAAGAGAGAACGGAGAGAAATATATTATTTTGTGTTCCAAGTTATTTTTCTAAAGTGTTAGAAATATACACAAAATATTATAAAGAAATATTTATAAGATAAATATTTTTACTATATATTTATTACTCCTAAAGTAGTATTATTATAGTTTTTACTATCCTATATTAAACTTGCTAGCACAAGTTTAATCTAGGACTCCGGAGCAAGTTCGTGTGGATACGTTGGAGGCTTCATACGTTTGGTGCTACGTTCATCTCCTCAAAACCATCCCCGACCGTTTCTCCGTTCTTCGTTTTTCACTGTTAAGGTAAATTTCTTACTATAGCTAGTAATTTACGTAAGTTGTTCTTGGGTAGAATCGAGTTTTGGACTCTAATTTTTTGTTTTCCGCTGCGTCATCTAAGCCTCATTTCCCAACAGTGGTAACGGAGCCAGCTTACGAAGTTACTAGTTTACACTGCAAAAAAACCGCGGAATTGGAACGGCTTTTTGGCACGAACTGTAGTTTATGTTTCCCGTGACTAAGGTATTAGGCACGGATTTTGGCACGGACACGAAACACTGCCAATTTCGAAGCTCCAAACCGTATGGCACGGAAATCCAGTCCGTGCCAAATATAGAGACGGCGTCACTCGTGACAAAATCGTTCCAAACTGACGGTTGTAAGAAAAACGTTAAAGATATTAGGCACGGATATGTCCGTGTCAAAATTGTGTTCTTACAAATATAACATAAGTCACGGATATATCGGTGCCTTTATTTTGAAAATTTTCAAAATATTCAAAAATTTTCAAAAAATTCAAATACGCGGGAAGATTAAATTCCGAAATTCAAATATTTTGCAACGGACATATCCGTTCCATGGATTTTTTTAAAAAAAATTGTCACGGATTTATCCGTTCCTTAGATTTCGAAAAATTAAAAAAACACTTTTGAAAATAAAAAGTTAATAATACATAACAGGCCATAATTCAAATACGGAATAAATCACTCACAGCATAATAATGTAGATTAATAAAAGTAATATCCATAATGAAAGTAATGTCTAGCATCCAAACAAAGATCATCACAGACAAATGTTAATGATGAATATATACAGATTTTCATTGTTTAGAAAACTGTTAACACCACAGTTATTTGAATTGTGTCCTTCCGGTTGAACGTTTGGCATTTGGGGGAGGACCGTAGGTTGTTGAAAAACAGGCATAGGAGAAGGCAAAACCCGCGGGAATTAATTAAAGGTGCTCCTCATGACTTTGTCTGTGTCCGCCGTCAAAACCCCGGGCAACCATGTGTAACGAAGCTACAAATGTAATAAAAAATAAATTAGTATTGTCTTTAGGACAGCTTGTTGGCTCGAAAAAAAATTAAAAAAATTAAAAACCCATACAAATAATATATGAGATAATAAAAAAAAAAAAATTACCCCTTCAATTCGGCCTTAGTGATCAAGCGCGGAAGATCCCCGTACGGCACCGCACTAGCCTCCGTTGAAACTCCGTCTCCTCCTTCGCCACATCATCCGCCCTTGACCTCGACCTCAGCCTCCAAGTCCCCACTGGCATTGAATATGGACTGCGGGGTAGTGGTAGATGGTGATTCCGGTGGTGCTCGAGAGTGAGAACGCTGAAAGCTTCCCCTACCGCGAATGCTACCGCGGAAGGAAGTGCTCCTTGCTGAAGACATTGAAAGGAGAAGGGGTTATGAGACCTGATGTCGCTTTTACTCTGAGTGTCACGAGTAGATACCAGTCCAACCCTGGCGAAAGCCATTGGACGGCTGTGAAGAACATCCTTAAGTACTTCCGTTGGACTAAGGATGCCTTCCTGGTATATGGCGGAAAAGAAGAGCTCTTCCAAACTGATAGAGACGACTTCAAGTCGCAGGCAGGGTATGTGTTTTGTTTGAATGGTGGAGCTGTTACCTGGAAGAGTTACAAGCAAGATACTACCGCTGATTCCACTACGGAAGCAGAGTACATGGCTGCAGCCGAGGCAGCCAAGGAAGGTGTGTGGCTCAAGAATTTTATTACTGAGCTTGGAGTGGTTTCTAGCATCAAGAACCCTATACCATTGTTTTGCGACAACAATGGGGCAATTGCACAAGCGAAAGAACCTCGGTCTCACCAGAAGACCAAACACATCGTTAGACGTTATCACATCATACGAGAAATCGTTGCATGTGGGGACGTTGAGATTTGCAATATAGGTATAGACGAAAATATCGCGGATCCGTTGACAAAGGATTTGGGAAAGCCTAAACACGAGAGTCATACGTGGTCCATGGGCATTCAAAAATGTTTGATTGGGCTTAGGGCAAGTGGGAGATTGTTGTATTTAGGTGCCCTGGCGGCAATCAAATACCTATGTAACTGTACACTTTATCATGAATGAAAGGCCTTGAAGTATGTTTTATATCTCGTGTAACATAACATAGTTTCAGTCCATAGACGATAGTGCTTCAGTAACATAGATGAGGGCTACGATGTTCTGATTGTGAGACTGTTACTTCTTGACAAAGGCTATGTCTAGAGTATCCCTAGTCGCACTTTATGATAATACGGACGTCATAACGTATCAAGACTAGTACGTACGAGATGAGATAGTTGCGTCTCATAGACTATAGGTATTGTGATATTTTAATCTGTACGTAGGTGCATATTATATCGAAAATATGTGACTGGATTGACCCATCTTGAGAATACTGCATGGATCTACAGTAATGTGTTTATCAGTATTCTCAAATCGACCTTGCTATAACTATCCTCAGACTTGAAGTTATTACATTCTCTGATATGTGGGGCCGTATGCTTTGATTCATAAATACTGGTAGACATACAGTTATGCGTTGGGTATGCTACTAAGCATATTTAGAGATGTGAATAACAGATACAAGATATGTCCCTTCTACTGTTTAGAAAAACTACTCTACTGCTTGTGATTTTATTTTTAACATACACATTTTTTTGTTGGGAAGTACACTCTGGCTGATGAGTCATTGCTTTTGAATTTCTCTTTTTGGTTAAGAATATCAGTCCACAAATGTATGATTTCAAAAGAAAGAGTTGAGTTCAGTTTCAAGCTTTGGAATTTCCCTTTCTTGATTGCTCTGTCACCTTCCTTGTTTAATACATTACTGATACAAATAAGAAATCATAAGTATTCCATGTCATCAAGAATGAGTTCAAATTGATCACCAAAAAATACCAGAATGAGTTTTGCTGTAAAGATGAATGAACATAAAGAGATACAAGAATGAGTGCTACACTAAAAAATAGTAGTATGCACATAATTAATTGAAATAACGTACTCATCATTGTCTACTGAAAATGTGAACACTTCCACCATTTTCTCTTCAATTGTCAAGGTAGACCTTATGTCTACAATTCTATTCATGAATGGTGACCTTAGTGCAGCTGAAAGTGCAACATATCTCTTTCTACCCTTTTGTCGTTCTGCAATTCTTTCTGGACATTCATCTTGATTGTCTTTTTTATTCAGCTCAACTTTTCTAATGTTTGTCTCCACTGCCATGTCAAGAATTTGGTCTTCACTTGTAACTTGTTTTTACATTGGCCACATCTCCCTCACCTCCGACATCTGCTTGCAACTCTCCATTCTCTGTGTGTGTAGGTTCTGTCGCATGTTCTACATATGCCACACATGTTTCCATAGCTTCTGTCACTTGTCCCCCATCTCCCACATTTGCTTCCAACTCAATATTTTCTTCTATCACACCTCCCACGTATGCTACCACGTAATCACTCTCTTTTCTGCATGTTCTGTCACACCTCCCACATCAGCTGCCACCCCCAATCATGAACCATCTCATTATCACTTATCTCTTGGCTTTATTTTGAAATGAGCCTAAAGGTTGGCCCATCATACTGTGCTCTCTCTTGTCCCCTTTTTTGTGCTTTTTCTATAGCATCAATAGCCTTCGTCACTTCTTCACTTCTCCAATATTCATCATCTTGACTAAAAGTCCATTCCTTTTATCCTTCTCTTGTGCTTTCTTTCTCTCATTCTTCCACATTCTCTTTTGAATAACCATCCAGCAGATTATAAACCCAATCTACAAGCATTTTCACTGCTTCATCATCTGGCAACACTTGAACAGCTGCTCGAATCTTCTCATCAAATGTAGATATTACTTCTGCCAAATTCTTTGTGGCTGAAGCAAATGCTTTTATAACATCCTACAATGAATTGCATTTTACAACATTTTTACCATGGTCACATATTAATATTTTTGAGGAAATGAATAGTACTATAATCTTACCATTTTTTCTTTCTGAACATGTAATTCATCTTGATTTCCACCATCACTTTTGTTTGTCTGACTTTCTTTGTTGAGATTTGGACTTGTCAGTTCAATCTTTTCAACATTGGGCACATTGATGTACCCGTAACCAAATCCTCTGCTCTTTTGTTTAGCCCTTTCTCATTCCCACAGTAGTTTTGCGTTCCACCCAACAAAAGAGGGGAACTGCCTTTGAACTCTTCTGCTTTTGAAAATGACATTGTCAACATAGAAAACCTGACCATCATTTCATCAAATAAATGTGTTAATACAACACAAAAAATATATAAACATTTTAGAAAAAAAATATAAAATTTAGAACTTACAATTAAAAACAGCAATGGCCCTCCAAAGAATCTTCTTTTGTTGGCTTTCCAATAATTTGTTGCCTCTATCAAGCTCTCCAAGGTATATAAACACCAGTTAAGGTTTTTTATTTCAGACACGTTTACTAAAGCATTCACAATTTTATGTGCTGCTGAACAATTCTGCTTCCCTTCAATTAGAAAACTGACAATCAATACCATTAAATTCCTTTTGAACATTTCTCCTTCTCCTTTATTCTCTTCAACACTTTTTCTCACATCTGTTATTTTAACTGTCCCTTTCTGAACTGGAAATTGTAACTTCCAAGCTCTCATCACTTCTCTTGCTTCTTCAGATTTCTCTCCATTCTTTTTCATCACACTTTCTCCTCCCATTGGAAATTTGATGGTGCTATGAATGGAAGTCTCATCAATGTGAATCTCTTTTTTACCTGGCAACTTCAGCGAAACACTTCTGGTATCAAAATTTTCCACCAGCCAGTAACCTAACTATAGAGGAAGATGCGTGATATCCAACTGTAACAACCTACCAAACCCCATTTCCCTAACATCCTCTTTTTGTTCTTCACTCAGATTTTTAAACAGTCGAGTTATTGTTTTTGGTGACATCCTTATCTTTATGGACTTCACACCAATCTTATTCAATTCTCCTTCTTCTCCCACCACCCGCTTATTTCTTCATTTTTCTCTCTTTTTGTATTGCATCTTACCTTTTCTTTCTACTGTTGCATTTTTCTTCTTCCTAGCACATTCTTCCTCTTCACTACACTCTTGTTCAGTGTTTACTTCATCTTCACCAATTTCTTGGTCAGTGTTTAGCTCATCTCTCGAACTCCTTTGCTCAGTGTTTCCTTCGAGCTCAACTTCTTCTACCAAAAACTTATCACCATTTAATTGGTCAATGTTTTCAATGTTGAGCAATTCATCCTCTTGCGAAATTGGATCTTCTTGAGCTTGATTGCTTTCCTGCTCGACATTTTTTCTTGTATTCATTTCTTTCTCTTTATCTTTTTGTATTTCCTCTTACCTTTTCTTTCTATTGTGCCATCTTTCTTCGTCATAGCACATTCTTCCTCTTCACCATTTCCTTGGTCAACTTCCTCTCTCCTTTGCTCTGAGTTTGCTTCGATCTCAACTTGTGCTACCAAAAACTTCTCACAGTGTAATTGGTCACTCTTTTCAATGCTCGGCATTTCATCTTCTTGTGCAATTGGATCTTCTTGAGCTTGATTGTTTTTCGCTCAGCATTTTTTTCCGGTATCCCTTTCTTTCTCTTTCTCAGTTGCATTTTTCTCCAAAACTTGGGTTCTTTCTCAGTCCCTTTCCTTTTCTTCAGATTGACTTTAGTAAAAACATTTGGTTCTTCACGTAGTAGAGGGATTTCCGTCATGGATTTTTTACTGTATAATTTTCATGCACATTTCAATAAGATTTTTAGCTACACCGTTCAATAACTGGGTACTATTGTGTAACAGGAGTACCAGCAGTTATGAGAATGATCATATTCCTACCACACAAAAATAATAACCTTGGGCTTTAAGTTGTCTATACAGAATGAGAATGATCATATTCAGTATTTAGAGTATAATTGAGTACCAGAATAAGTCATAATGTACACTGGAACACATTAGAATGATCATATTACAAATCTTAATATGAATGAGCTTTACTATCACAAACATAACATGCACCTATTGTGCGGACTACAAATGAGGACCATTATAAATTAGAATCACTGATAACACATACAAGAATGGACATATTTCAATCCGTTACTTGAATCAAAAGCACACCAAATTGGTTACTAGCACACTATCCAGAATGAAACCAAACAACCATAACATCTATCCAATGCCCAGAACATATATAAGAACTATTATATATGACAATGAGTACCAGCTATATGACAATGAGTACCAGCAGATTTGAGAAGGAGTACCAGCACTTATGAGAATTATCATATTCTTATTCAATACAAACATGACTAAACTTGGGTTTAAATTCTTCATGCTCAGAAAGTATAAATGAGTACGATTATAAATCATAATGTGTTCTACCAAACACGACAATGATTATATTACAACCCATATATGCATGAACTTTACTATCTATCATAAACATAAGTACTGGACCCATAAAAATGAGTACCAGTATACATGCCAATGTGTTATGACACATACTAGAATGGAAATAATTAAATCTATTACTTGAATGGACATGTTATGTCACATTTTCTATGGCCCTTACGAGAATGAACTTAACAACTCTCCAGAATACAAACAAGTACCATTCTATATGAGAATGAGTACAAGTGCGTACGATTTTGGTAGCTTACACTTCAATGCAAGAATCACTCTATTCTTAAAAGCAGGAGAATTATTTTCACGCCCAATGCACTCATCTCCTGCACCGTCGATATCAAGGAACAAACAAGATCTACGGCTATGATTGGTTGTGTAATATTACCTATTTAAAATGATAAATTAAAGGAAATTTTGCATGCATAATCACTCTATTCTGATAAAAAAGGAAGGGAGTAATTTGTTTCCTAACCAATTTTTCATAATTACTTGATTGTGATAAAAAAGGAAGGGACGGTGCAGAAGATTTTTTATATTTTGTTTCCTTTTTAAATAGGTAATTATTTACGCCTAAATAATTATTACTATTATTATTATAATTACTTGGAATAATTTACGCCTAATTATTTTATCAAAAAGTAATTATTTATGCCTAATTAAATAGGTAATTATTTACTTAATCACTCTATTCTTAAAAGGAAATACTTTTAAGAATAATAGAATGATAAATTAAAGGAAATTTCGCAAGCATAATTACTTTATTCTGAAAGAGGCTAATTACGAAAAGTGATTGAGAATGACTGTATTTAAAGTATGAAAAATTAAAGTATTTTTCTATTTCCATGCATCTAATTGTTTCCGGGTAAGTTATTAATTAGTGGTTGATTGTTCAACATATAAAGGTATATAAAATTCAATACGTTTCCATGTATTAAAGGCACACCTCTTAAAACGATGTCTCCATAAAACGTTTGGACCTGGATCTCTAAATGGAAATATTATTAAATTGAAAGCTTATTTGATTAGAATTATTACACGATAATAATAACTAAGTACGATAATATTATTAAACGGTATATTATTATTATTATTATTATTATTATTATTATCATTATTATTCTTTTACGA